AGAGAGAGAGAGAGAGAGAGAGAGAGAGAGAGAGAGAGAGAGAGAGAGAGAGAGAGAGAGTTCCTTGGCCGGCCAACCCCTGCACCACCCAGAGGTAGTCGTGACCCGAGACCGTTGGGATTCACCTTCTTTTTTCCACCATTGGGGTTGAGAGGCACAACTGTCCTGTTACTGCTTGTGGTCTTCGAGCTACTCCTTTTCATCAGGACTGCATCCAAGTCGTTTTAGAGGGTTCATCAACGCTTGCAGCCTGCTCCCTCCGTTACCCCCTGCGAACGCCTGCCGAGGGCGTGGGGGTGTTCACTACGACTCTGGCTCTGTTGGGAGCACCTGCCTCCGCCTCCGCCACCTCTCCTTCCCGAGGCTGCGCCGGAGGACGGTGCCGATTTTGCGCAAGAACCGCAGACAACGGGCGATGTGGTGGCCGGGCAACTGCATTTTTCTTTCCGAGGAGGAGTAGGTCCTTCTTTTGCCCACCTGCCTCTGCAGCGGCTGTCACCTGAGGGAAATTGTGACGGCGCGGCGAGGAAATGCCGCGGGAGAGAATGCAGAAAAAGGGATGCTGAAGGGCCTCTTCCGCCGTTATCCGTCTATCCGGTTCATATGCCAACAGACGCGCCACGAGATCCACGCCATCATTTCCCACCATGTCCATTGACCCACACCTTGTGAAGTAGTAATGCAACTTCCTCTTTGCCCCTTCAAGCCAGTCACTATACCCATTCGAGCCTTTGCCGTCGTTCCCGTTCTGGCCCAGTTGAATACCATTGACGCCATTGAAGAAATCTTTATACAGTGCGTACTGCTTCATACTAGGGAAATTAGCCCCTGTTGGCAGTCCTAAGAGGGCAAAGATGCATTTCAATTGTTCCAAATTGTTTCCCCCGTGAAAAAGGGCTTTTCCACTGGCAACCTCGGCAATAATGCAGCCGGCACTCCATAGATCCACGGTGTAGTTGTAGTTTGTATTTCCCAGCAAGACATCTGGGCTACGGTACCAAAGGGTGACAGACTCATGTTGATACTTTTTTACCGGAATACCTTCCACTCGGGAGAGGCCAAAGTCTGTGATTTTGAGTACATACTGCGACGGCGCCCTCGGCCCCCTCTTTGGCTCACCGTCACAGTTGACCCTGGGGGACTGTGTGCCAGGGGGCACGGCTTTCAGCACAAGGTTCTGCGGCTTCAGGTCTCGGTGTGAGAACTCCTTCCGGTGCAGAAAGCAGAGACCACTGAGCAAATCCCGCATCCACTGGCGGTACAGCCGTCCATCGGTGAGACGGCGCAGTGGGAGTGCATTGAGGTAACACGACAAATCCCCCGCCTCGCAGTACTCCGAGGCCATGTAGACCATATACTTCTCCACGACGACGTCATAAAGTTTAACGACGTTTTCAGAACCGAATAATGCGGGGGACCCCGGTCCGGCCACGTCACGCGTCGACTTGACGATCTCGTTCAGAACCATAATCTCGCGAATTGTGGAGGCAGGAATACCCTCCTCCTTGTCTGCACAGAAGGTGCGCTTGAGAGCGACAAAGCTTCCCTGTGCTCCGTCGATCTGGTTCATATTATTGCCTGGCGGACCTACGACGGTGGCCTTGTAGACCTCGCCGTAGGCGCCCTTTCCTATCACGTCCTTTTCCAGATCGAACTCATAGCACAACACACGCACTTTGGAACTTTCTGGCTTTGACGCTGATCTCGCCGTTGGGATCTCAGCCGCAGCGGCCATGCGTGGTGGTTTCAAACTCAGCAGTTGAGCAGGGAAGAAAACAACACGCCTCCTCACTGCCGCACGCTTCGTCTCGTCGCCGTCCGCCTTTCCCCGTTATCGCTTTAAGCGTCCACTAACACGGAATCTTTACCGCGCGATAATCTGCAGAACGCAGACGCACGCGCCGAAAAGAGGGAAGAAAAAAAGTTTCCTTTTATGTATCCAGTGGCTTCCTTTCGTACTCCTTCTCTTAGCATGCAGTTTCCTCCTACTTTTTTTCTTCTTCTTCGTTCCTTAGCAGCAATTCCTGCTGCAACTACAAATTAATAAAAGATGTAAATAAATAAGCAGAGAAAGCTCTGTTTCTCCTCTTTTCCCTGCACCCGCCTTACTTCGTTTCTCAGGAGTGTAGCAACTGTGGATGCGTGTGGGCGTGGCCACGGTGGAGAGAAATAAAGAAAGAGAGAAAAAAAAAACAGAGAGAATGTGAGACACGTTGAGACGTCGCGGGAGCGGCAACGTAACAGCAGTGCAGGCCTCCCTTTCGCGGTGTTCTCCGTTGCCGGTCATCGCATCTTCCAGAGAGGTTACATGTGGCGTGGAGGCGAACACACAGAAGAAAAAAAGCCCGCAGACATATACGCATAAAGGCAAAATAAAAGGAAAGAGGGGGGGAAAAAAAGCGAATACGCATTTTGAAATTTTTAAAGGAGAGTGGTGAGTCCAGAAGAAGGACGGTGCAACAGAAGAGCACACGGGCGTTTTTCTTTTTCTTTTTTACGCCACTCTTCATGGCCCACTTAATTGCATTCGTAGGGGCCGACGGGAAATGCCGCAGAGCACACCCAATGAAGTGTGTGTGTGTGTGTCTGTTTTTCCCCCTCTTTTCCGTCGTCTTTTTTCTTTTCACCCTTCATACATACGCATTGTCACGCTTACTATTTGGTCGCTGCTACTTTTCCTTCCCCTTCGCCTCTTCCCGCGCATGCGCAGAGAGAGAAAGGCACACACACATATATATATATACAGGCATATATATATATATATATATCTTCCTACATACGTACACGTGTGGGGCGCAAAGCCATTCGCACTAGAAGCAAATTAAAAAAAAATCTTAAGCATCACCCCGCCTCTCTTGCCGGCTTCATGCTGTCAAAGTCGTATGGTTTTCCGTAAATGCGTTGGAAGAGGTCGAGGATATTCGCCGCGGCGCTTTCAAAATGTGTGGCGGCATCATAGCTGTTGCTGATAAAGCACCTGCTCTGCTTGCCGTCCTCCAGGGGCTCGTACAAGTCTGAAACGGAGATAAAGGTTTCAATGGTGTCGCCAATGACGCGTAGGCCTGGTAGAATGTCCCGTTCTGGGTTTGCAAAGTTTTCCACAGCTGTGCCTATGATGGCGATGTAATACCCTTCCGGGCAGACCTTGTTATTTGCCCCAAGCTGCAAGATGTACATGTCATCCTTACGCTTCAATTCCTTTTGGGGGATGATGATTTGGCATGAATTGCAGTCCGAATTAAGGTTTGGAATAGGATGATTCATAATGGCGATGCAGCGAACCACCTTCCCGCAGGGTTTCACACGGTCCGGAAAGTAGGAAGGGTCACCCAGAATAAGCTTCGCGTAGGCCCTTTTACCATCGCTTTCAATAGATTCAAAGACCCCTTGTTCGTTAAAGTGCACCTTGGTCACCGGGGTTTGCAGCATATAGGTACCACCGTACACGGCACAAAGACGGGAGAAGGCCTGCGGCAGCTCACCACTGCCATACAAGGGATACACGTAGGGCGAGGTGGCGTACATGTTGAACGATTTTTCGTACAGCTTGCAGCGCATTACCGTATCAAGCGCCGGGCGTTGCATGTAATCATCGTTTGTGTGCAGCGCAACAGCATGACCGACAAAGTCAATGGTGTCATTACCGATGCCAAATTCCTTGTAGAGTTGCGCCATCGTCATGGTCTGAAGATTGTACTTTTTGTGTGTACTGGGATCCTTCGGGTCGTAGTTACCCATGAACTGAAACAGTTTCGCCGCCTTGCGCTTCTCGAAAAAACCCATCAGCGGAGACGTGAGTGCCTCTGTAGCCGTTGCAGGCACCTTCGCAATTCTGTTATCCTTCAAGACAAAGGAGTTATCAATAAGCATAAATTCCATGTTGTAGCGGTCGATGACGGTGGAGCGAAGAATCTCCACCAGCTCCCCGGCGCACATGAGGACCTTGGGGATGAGGTCGACGTTGTAGAGGTGGCTGCGGCCAAGGGAGGCGGGCGGCGCCCCCTTGTTGAACTTCTTGTACAGCTGCTCCAGGTTCAGACTGGCGGACTCCCCACCGTAGTACGGATTGCGGTCCACGTGAAGCACCTTGTAGCCATTGACGGAGAGCAGCCCACTAAGGACGCACTCCGTCAGGCCGGTGCCGCAAACAATCGCGTCGTAAGTCTCCTCCATAGTTTGGCCCCCAAAAAGTGGCACTGGCGTGTCCTCTTATATATATATATATGTACTGCTGCGGTAACTGATAGCGCAATGATCAAGACACAGCCCAAAGAGGCTGCCGTGTGATGCTCCCTCTAGTTGGGCAGGTTCGACGGGGTAGAAAAAAAAAAAAGTGCAAATAGCAACAAAAACAACAGGAACATTGCATTCAGCAACGCAGCCCTACGACACTACTGCGTGCGCCAAGGGCACAGACAGGCAGCGGAACGTCCCAGTGGTGCTCTCCAATGTGCTGAGGGGTTGGGGGGCCTGTTAGATACACGCAACCAAGGCCCAATGATGGAGGGGAGGAAAACAACAGTAAAAAAACACACACAGAGTACACACACACACACACACACACAGATACACAATATTCCCCGCGGGAGAGCACGACAGTGCCTACGGAGCAGCCACTCTGGGGGCTCGCGCCCCCTACAAAAAACTAGGCGCCCACCGCACTCAATGCCTGCTCCAACAATCGACGCAACGGCGACTCACCCCCGCTTGCATGGCACACCGCATCGTCTCGCAGCACATCACCGTCCGTGTGGACACTCTGGTCTGTGCCTTGTGTCTGTGTCGCATGCGTCTCCCTTTTGAGGTGCCCAAGGCTTTTACTAAGAAAAGAATTCTCACGCCGCAAAGTGTCCAGTTTGGATTCAAAGCGGGCCTCAGCATCGCGCAATACAGCTTCAACGCAGTCCCGCTCCGTCCCTGGGTGTCCGTCTCGCTTTTCCTCTTCCGCCCCCGTTTGCGTATGAGAAATGTCTCGCGGCTCCGCATCATTGCCATGGCGGCGCTGCCACATCTGCAGTATGTTGCCGCCTCTTCCCACCACGGCCACATCTTCCCCCTGCGCACGGAGACTTCGCAGCTTGAGCTCCACCAACTCCGCGCTCTTTTGGTTCAGCGCCTCCAAAAGCTGTGTGACTTGATCCGCAAGCGTGTCTTTCGCGGTGCGGAGGCGTCGCAGCTCCTGGCGCTGCTCTTCTAGTGCCCGATTTGCCTCTTCAACGACAACTGTTGTTTCCGAGACGACATCCAACGCGACGCGAAGACGTACCTCCAGTGCTTCAAGGGGCGGCCCACTTTGCGGTTCCTGCCGCGCCGCTCTCCCTGCGGAACGAAGCGGTGGTGACTCCAACGTCGTAGCCGCCGCCACCGCGTGAGGGTTGGCCCCATGCTCCATTGCCGGATTGAGGAAGTGAAACAGAGCCGCCACCGAGCCGTCGGCGAAGGCAGCAAGGGCGACGGCAACAGCGCGCTGACGCACCGGCGGCAATAGCGGCACAAGGCTTGTGACGGGACTCGCCGTCTGGAGAGCGCTCAGCGGCGTGCATCCAGTCACGTGACCGCCCGAAACGACGGGGGAGACGCCCACCTCGAGCAGCGTCATCACATTCCTTGCCGATGCAGCCGCAAGGCAGTAGCTGACATGGCCGGTCGCTCGATCCGCCTGCGCCGAAAGCACTGAGAGTGCGGTGACCCGGCCTCTATTCACGTGCAGCGTGTCCGCCGTAAGGGCGGCATCCGCCACCGCCCGCAAGTACTCCGCGTCTGTGAGGGTTGCCGCAGGAGACCCCAACGAGCTCGACGACGATGACGCCGATGGCGCGGGCACCGTCCCGGAACGCGCGTCGTAGAGCACCGTAAGGGGAGTGAAGGAGATGCTTCCCTCATCGTCGCCCAAACACATCACCACCGCCGCATCGTCATCGCCGTCCCCAACAAGCACGGCGGCACTTGTCACCGCAGGGCGCGTCGATGCAATGCGCTGCACCGGCAGATCATGGTCTGAGAGCATCTTATTTGACCTCGATGGGCCGCCTAGCGAGAGACCGTACAGCGCCCTCTGCTTGGTTGAGAAGAAAAGCATAAAATGACCCTGCGGCTGCGAGAGACTAGTCGTGCAGGAGCAACCCATTGCCGTACAGACCATTCGTATGGGCGACAGCCCGTAGTGATCCTGTGCACGGCAAGCCCTCGTCAGGTCTCGCATAGGCTCCAGGGTCTTCGCATGCCACTGAATCAGCCGCAGATCATGGCTAGCACTGAAGACCCATGGAGAGGGTCCTGTGGCAAGCAGGTGCACCGCAGCACGGTGCTCGTGCAGAAATGTCACCACTTCCCAACGCGTCTCAGAAGCCTTTGCCCCACTTACTCTTGGCGTGGGTGCACTCGACGATGTCGCTGAAGCCTCTTCAAGGCGCATGCGATACACCGCAATATGCCCCGATGACCAGCCCACCCAAACCACGTTATTTTCTACCACACATAGGGAGAGAGCCATATTGATCGCAGAAGCCTGTTGGAGCGCGGCCGACGAAAAAGCTGGTGATGCAATTTCCTGAGGGGTTGGTAACGCTTCACTACAGGGATGCTGCAGCTTGCAGTCAAACGTTCTCACGCTCCCTGTCTTTCGGTCCGAGAGCAAAACAACGGGCATCGACAGTGCGTCACAAGTGCCAGGCCTGAAAACAGGTTGTAGGCCACGGACCGCGACGGGAGCATCGACAGCGAAGAGCCAGCTACTTTCTTGCGCCTGTGGCGATTTGTCCATGTCCAAATAGACCTCACAGAGAGGGGAGGGAACGGGGCTTGCTTGGCGCAGCACTTCGGGATTGGCGGCGGCTATGAAGCCCCTCAAAAGCACATCAACAAAAAAAAGTGCAAAGGCAAAACAGCAACATTACACACACACACACACACACCGACAGAATTTTCGGGACGGTGAATACACAACAGCAACAACGACCAAAAAATAAAACCAAACTGAGCAACTTCACGTTCACGTGGAGTTCACCTCACCATTCCATGCTGCGGGGTACTGCGCGCAGACACGGCTTCGCGACCGCTCGCTAGGCGTACAGGGCAGGTTTTTCTTCAACTCTTCTCGGTGGCTTCGTCCCAGCGCATGCTCCACCATGCGATGCCAACCTACGGCCACGTCGCACATGTAGCAATAATTTAAGACAGGGGGAAGAAGTAGTTTTCGTGCCTCAGGGTCGTTACAGGCCTTGTGATGTAGTAATCGAAGGCGATCCAGCGACGCGCCACGCCGATAGGCGTCACGTTGTGCAATGATCCCGGCAACTGCCGCCGTTTTCTGCTCGAAGCAGACGTCCCGGAACTTCAGCAGGCACCTTAGGTCGACAAACTGCTTCATGGCCGTTGTCAAGACGGTCAGGACGGAGGACGCGGCCCCGGTGGAGTTGCTATTTAGCCCCCGTAGGCACTGCTCCATGGCCATGGCCGTGGCCTCAAGTGTCGAAACACCCGTTTCTCTCGTCCTTTTCCGTAAGGCCTTAAAAAGCGACGTATACGACCCATCCACATCCAACGCCAGTCGAGGAATGTGCTGAGGGATGTGCCGGTTAAGCGAGGTTGCCTGGCCCCAAGTTCCATCCAAAAGAAGCAAGTGTACCTTCTGGCCCTGGAGAAGACTCTGGACAAATTTCTCCACCAAAATGGCGCCCGACTCTGGGTATAATGAAGCCGTACAAAAGCCGCTATCCTCCTCGTCTACAGCCGACAATCCTTGCATATCCACGTCATCTTCTTCCACGCCCCAGACGCGGACAGGCGCACCTAAAATGAAGGCTGCGACGTGTCCAGAGTTCGTTGCTCGCATCACTTCCGCTGCGTGCATTACCATCGTCACCTTCACGGCTGAGCGCAGCCGATCAGAGAGTACACGTGCCCTATGCTGCTCAAGCTGAGGGCACATGCACATGCTTCTTGTAAACCAGCACCACAGACACAAGTCATTTTGTGCCGCGAACCACAAACGTGCAGAGAGACGTCGCCGAACAGAAGCCCTGTGTCGTTCTTCACGTGGAAGTGATTCTAGATGAGCTCTCCACTCTGCTGACTCCGAAGTCTGGAAGTACAACGCCTCCGGCCCAGTTGAGGGAGGCGGGCGCACAGTTTGCCCTGTTCCGTAGTCTGGGAGTCCCACGTAAGTAACGAGACGCCGCATAGATTCCTTGTACGGATTCTCTCTGATACTCATTGTCCGCAGGCTCTAGACAGCTGCGTATGTGAATGTGAATATGAATGGGCGGTGAACTCTAAACGGCTCCGATTTTTTTTTATTCCACTTACCTTTATTGCCTTTTGTTGTTGTTTCACTATGTGTGTCATATGCGCGTGGACAACACCCATTAACCAGACGGGCAGGCGACGCATGCACACAAGATAGGGGCACATAAGCTCGCCATGCACACAAGCAGAGGGAGTTAGGAGGGAAAAACAACAACAACAACGTCCATGAAGAGACAAAACGAGAGAGATGACAAGAGGAATTTGAGAGCCGTGTGTGTGTGTGTGTGTATGGGAGTAGGGGATGAGGTGAAGTTATCCACCCTCGTGCATGGACGTTGTTTTTCCCCCCTTTTCTTTATATAGTTAGAGTATGACTATGCCCAACTCTCTGTCTGGATGTTTAAATTCAGTCATCTGGGTTTGGCGCCGCATGCAGAAACACGCCCTCCACAACACCTTGCTGTGCCGTTGTCTGTGAAGATGGAGTGGCGATACACTCACTCTCTCCCCTTACCGTGGCATACAGGGCACTCCTTCCCCTTCGCGCGCCTGGTCCGGGTGAGTCGGGCGGCGAGAGTTGCCTCCCATTCGTGTCCACAGGCCATGCAAAGCCACCAAAGTTTGGTGTGATCGGTTGGCTTCACTTGACTTGGCTGCAGATCACCGTTTTTGAGGGGGTGCCACTCCTGCAGCAGCCCATTCTCGTCCTTGCTGAAGTCTGCGTGAAGGTTCAGCAAAGAGCAGGATGGGCACTTTGCCTTGTCGGACACCATGTCTTTAATGCGTGCCTGGAAGCTGGTGGCGCAGCTTGGGCAACGCCAGTAGGCCGATTTGTTGCTGCTCGCCACCACCGCCTTGGGGTCAATGCAGGGGTCATTGAGGGAGTGGTCCCAGAGCTGAACAAGGCGTCCACCCAGGCACGGGTTGCGCTCCTTCTCGCAGAGGGGGCACCTTGTGCGAAGACAGGTGCGCACAAAGACTCCGCTCCTCCACTTAAATCCACACCCCACGCATTTCCAGGACGCCACCTGCGCGCTGTCAACGACGACCTCCTCCAACGGGGTCTGGTTGGCCTCCGTGTCATACTCCGCCGCCAAGTCCGGGAAACGATCCTTCAAAAATCGACTTTCCACATCTAACGCCGGCACCGAATCTTCGGCATTGGATCTGCCGCCAGAAGCACCTCTGTCCTCCTCATCGGCCTCGTCCTCGCCGTCCAACGCGTGTTCGTTGGGCGCCGCGCTAGACGACGCTCGCCGACCACGGCGACGAGGACGTTGTTGGCGGGAGAGAATTAACTCCGCCTCCTCATCCTCGTCGCCATTGTTGAAATCATGCAGATTTTGTTGCTCCTCCCCCCACATGTCTTGACCTCCGTCCGCGGCCTCGTCGAGCCCCACATCGGGCACTGCACCCGGGCCGAGTTCATCGCCCTCCTCCCTCTCCATTGCACCTTCAGCGAATTTGGTCTTGCCGCTCCTTCTGCGCGTCCTCCCCTGCTTTTCCCTCGCCGAAGTCACAGCGACCGCATCTTCGCTGGTTGCGGGTTTCTTCCACCCCCGCCTCGTCTTCGTTGCGGTTGTGGGGACAGCTGCCGTGGAGGAAGAGCAGCGAAGTGCGGTGGAGAGGGTCCGCTCGCCGTGGGGAAGGGCGGTGACGCTCGCTGCACTCAAAAGACCCGTTCTAGACCCTGCCACTAGCGCTGCCGCCGGCGCAAATGCAAACGGTGCGAGCGTCCAACTGCGAACAACGCGCCTCATTGCGCAGACTGGGAGATTTATTTTGTGAGTCTCTTCTTCCCCACTTACCTCGCGAGGTGTGCGCTGGAACGCAAAATGCGACAAGAGAGAAGTAAAGTCAAAAAAAAGAAACCAAAAAGTTTTGTGCGAATCGGGGGAGGTTCAATTGCGTTTCATTCCTTTGTGCCTCTCCACTCACCAACCTGACTCTCCGTCCACGTAGATGTGAGGCTGAGACGACACCACGGGCAGATTAAATACGCTTTCTATGAAAAAAGGGTTGACATAACCACCATGTAGCTTTTTTTTGTTTGTTTCCTTACGGTGAAGGAGTGGGTCATGCCGGTTCTTCGCTGTGGTATTTTTTCTTCTATCTGAAGAAAACCTCCTCCTTCCTGCATCCTGTATTCTGCATGCATACCTGCGGAGCATACTTGTACAGCGCGCATGGGTAGTGCAGGAAAGACAATTAGCGGAGCAATAACGATGGCAGGGGAAAAAAGTGGGCGTCAAATAAAAGAAAATAAAAGAAGAAATGAAAAGGGGAAAAAGGAATAAAAAAAATCACAGGATACCGGCCATAAAAAAAAAGGGACAGATGCCCAAAGCACAAATAACTTTTTTTGCCCCTCTTTGTATTGCTTTATTTATTTTGTGTCTATACATATTTTCTTCTACTTTGTTTCTCTCGCCTTCGTTTTTGATCCACCCAGCAGGCCTCGTACTTCGTCAAAGAGGTACGGGTTGAGGGAGTTACCCGACGGCTTTGCCAGTCCATTGCGTTGACGCCCCTCAGTGAGGCGGGGATGGGTGGTTAATTAGCGTCAGCCCACGCAGGGCGCGGGGTCCAACCCGGTTGCGGGGACGCGGGCGGCGCTGGGAAACTAAATCCTGCGCACCTGCGCCCTGCCCAGACGACGGCGGAGACGGCGGGCAACCAACGCAGGATGTCTGACCGTTGTCTGCGGGGGGACAAGTGAGGGGGGGGGGATTCTGCCGCACTCCAGTGAGGGAAGCCGACGCCCAGGGCTCTCAGGAGTCGCAGTAGCAGTGGGGGACAGAACAGCACAAACAATGAAGATGGTAGCTGGAGTCAATAAAATAAAATTCAGCAAAAAACAAACAAACAAACAAACAAACACACTCCGTGTCAAAAATAGGAGAAATACGCTAACAAACACAATGCAGAGAGCTGTGAAGTTGAGGTGGGTCTGTCCGCGCAGGGCGAACCTCAGAAGAGAAACCCAGCGACAGCCCAAGATACTAGGCATAACAAGACATTGCGTGGTCGTACACGGCGAACTTCACATCGTACCAGTTCCGCTCAAGCAATCGCCAGCTTCCCAGCATCTGTATAACGCTTGACGGATTTGCTTCATCTCGGTCCACGTATTCCATCACCTGCTTGTGAAGTTTCTTGATACGAGTTTCAATGGCCCCAGCGGTTTTTTGGATCTCACCGAGAAGCCTTTTTTGCTCCTCATCGCTCATATCCTTTTGATGTCGTGCCTCATACCTCGCCTTCAGTCGGTCAATGCTTTTTTGTTGCTGATCGATGTCACGCAAGGCCTCATCCAGCTCATGATCCTCGCCGCCAGGCGGTGGACTCTTTTGGCCTCCCTTCCCCTCTGGAGGCCGCTTCACAGAGCTTCCGGCGGTGTCCTCCGCGGAAGCTGACGTTGGAGGGGCGTTTGGAGAAGCTTTCTCCGCTGGGATCAACAACTCCGTTGCGCGAGGCGGTTTGGTAATGGGCTCGTTAATGCGAGAACTTCCATTCTCGTTGGGTGCAGCTGGTTCTGGGTTGATTAGCCCTGTCTTCTGCGCCCGCCCCGGCAAAATATGCGTTGGTTTGGGGTGAGTACCGGAGCCACGACGCGGGACAAGGGTTGAGCTTGGAACCTTCGCCGTCGTATTCGGCGAAGCCAGGAGGGATGTTGCAGAGGAGCGTGCTGCCGCAGAGGCGCCGCCAGGCCCAAGAGTGGATGGAGGTGTACCTTCAGCCTTCTTCCGCTGCGACGGTGCGGTGCCGTCCTCGGCCGGCGTATTCAGGTCACTTTTGCCCGCACCACTCGCCTTTTGCAGGAGCAGATTCAGGACGAGGGCCAGGGCAATTCTTGGATCGTCCCCAGCGCACGTGGCCAAGTCTGGAACATGCATCGGCTTGTGCTCAAGCGCCTGCTGTTGCAGGTGTTTTGCGACGTCACCACGACGAAACATTTTGCCGCACTTGAGCGGACACGGAACTTCTACCTCAAGACAAAGTACCTTGTGTCGCGCCAGCGCCGCCGAGTAGTCGAACTTGGCACCGCAAAAGCGACACAGTAAGGGCCCCGCTGCATCTGAGTTGAAGTAGAAACCAGAGGCATGCTGGCGATTAACGCTTTCCGGGCGCTCCTTCGACGGTGTCGGGCGTCTCGAGTTGCTCGCGTGGCAGCGGGCCTCGTGGTCGAGAAGCATGGTCCTCCCGCGGCATATGTAGCCGCAGGCCGTGCCGGTCCTCGGATCCGTTTGTTGGCAGGCCAATGGTTTCAAGGGGCAGTAGCGGTCATGCTCAGTCGTCTCACCTTGGGCGACAAAGTGGTAACAGTGCCTGCAACGCCCACCGAAGAGCGACGCGCGGCGCTGGGCGAGTTCGGATTGATCCAGGGACGCCTGCGAGTCCCGGTCTAGCCGTCGCGGTGTCTGCAGCGACGAAGCACTGGGCCGTCCATTCTCAGTTGAGGAACGACGGGACCTCACGCTGCTGTGGCGGCGCAAAATCCACTCCCCGGTGCGGGATTCCGGGGTCGACGCGCGTCGCGGCTGCGACCGCGCTGGCGTGCGGACCGGAGTTGGCGCCCGCGAAGGAACGTCAAGAGAAAACCGGCGGCTGACCGACATGCAACTGTCCTTGGATTTAACCGTGGTATCCCAGCTGTAAAGCGCGTGCAAAGCAAAACAAGGAGGCAGGCAAGCAAAATCCATAAATAATACATCCAGTCGAGAAGCGGAGGCGGGGTGTCAGTCGCCCCGCTTGCTGCAGACGTGGTGGCAGCAGACAAGCCGCGTGTCAGCTTCTGCCTAGTCCTTAAACACGGCGGTTGCGCGCGGACAACAACACAATTTAGTCAACTGCATTTCGAACAAAAAAAACAAGAGAAAGGCAGCCACACCAAGAAGAGAAGTTGTTGTTGTTTTTTTCTTTTTCTTTTTTCCTACAAGACGTCCAGCGTCTTGCTTTAATGCTCACTCTGCCCCAGCTCCTTCTTGTTTACGGCCCTTATTCCTCGCTCGCTCTCCCTCTCTTCTTAACTACTTCGCCCTTTCCTTCCTTCAGAGATCTCATATCCTCCTCTTTGTGTGTCTGTGTGTTCCACTCCATCGCTGTTGAAGCAGGCGTAGATGGATGCGCCTTTGCACGGCACGTCCTAGCGACGCACGACACAACAACCCCCTTCCTCCTGCTCCTTGCTACTCCCTGCCTTTCCTCGGCTTCCTGACTACTGTTTGACTTCTTTTGGCGCGGGGAGGGCGAGAAGCGAGGGGGCAGGCGCCCCTCAGTACCTGCCCGACTTCATGGCGTCGTACATGTCCTTGTGCACAATCTTCTTTGCTTTCTTTGCTGGTCGAAGCCCGGCCGGGACCGCCGCAAGCACCGTGTTCTTTATAAGCTTGCCCCGCGGCACCCACTTTGGCAGCGGCCGATTGTTGTCCATCGTCATGTACACCACGCCCGTGACGGTCACTGCAATCGACAGCGCCGCGAGGGCGCCCACCTCCAGTGCGTTTTCCCTAATCGCATTCCGTTCGTCTCTGCCGCCCTTCCTTGGCGGACCGTAGCGGCTCCGCTGCGTCATCATCGGGTCCACGTGTATGGTGCGATAAAAGGTGCTTGTACGTACCACCTCCGTGCTTATTGTGGCTGTCAAAAGAATCTCCACATCGGTGGCGATGTTAATGGAGCCCGGAATAAACGCGAAGGCGAAGGAAACGTCTGTTACCTCCGAGGGACTTACGCCGGGGCCAATTGTTAGGGTGTCATTCGCTACTTTATTAATTAGTTGACGGAAACTCAAGAAGGGATGGGTGTGCTGCCACCAGTAGCCCACGGTTCGCGGCGGAATCAGCACGGCACCCGTGCGTGGGTCTTGATAGTGCAAAAAGACACTGGTGTTCTTGTACTTCAAGAGTATAGAGTGCACATTGACCTGGGAGGTGGACACGCCGGGGATTTGCAGAAACACGGTGGCCCACCCGCTTGGACCAAAGGTGGAGCTAAGTGTGTCAATGCAGAGTGGACCAGGAGTGGCACTGCTTAGCTCAAATGGCCTGTCCGGAAGGGACACACCAAGCGGGTCCAACACAGGCCAGTAGTCCGAGCCCCGGCATACGCTCAAACGGCCTGCGGCGGCGTGCGAGCCTTGCGACAAACGGGTGACATAGATGGATAGCTCCATGGCCACGTCATGTTTCGTTCCGTCTGTCATCAACAGCTGCAATAGCACACGTCCCTCATAGCTGAAGGTCCGCTGCAATGCATCGGGAAGAGCCCCACTACCAAGGGAAACCCCCCGAATCGTAAGGTTCTGATACCACGTCGCACAACCCGTAGGCAATGAAAATCCAGAGCGATTGAAAACATGCATCCGGCTAGGCGGACACGCCGTGACGTCCATCGCAGGACCCTTGCGGAGTTCAACCAGGCCTGTCCCAGGTGGGCAGTCCCCTGACGGAAACTCACCTGTGTAGGTCGGCGTGCCATACTTTTCCTCGTCTTTACAATGCGACCTATTCCCTTTACAGGTAGTGCACTGTTCCGCGCTTGGGGCAATCCAGTCTTGGGCAATCCATTTAAACCCAACGACGTGGCGGTCCTCAGCGTAGCTCGTTTCCATGTCTTCTGTGACATAGGGGTGAAGTAGAAGATTTACCCCAAAGGCGCGATCGCCGTTTTCGGTGTACTCAAAAAACTCAGAATCAATCGAAAAGGGCGTCGTCGGTGTTAGCTTCTTCACCACAACAAATTGTTGGAGATCAAAAAAAACATCATGGGCCTCATACTGGGCATCAAAGCTACGTGCAGGCTCAATCCAGGAATTTGCGCGGACCCCCTCGGAGAGGATCGTGCCCTTCACTTGCTTGTCCCCCACGAAATACCAAACCGGGCTGCCGTCCGACTTCTTCAGCTTCTCCAGGGTGGCGTATGGGAAAGTCCCGGTCCAGGTGGCATCACAGTCGTCAATCTCAAGCTCCCACCGAACCGCCGCAGCAGTGACGTTGGGTACCGCAGGCGTTAGCAGGGGCGCATAAAGGCACGAATCCACAAACGTGTCACAGCCAATGTGCTTGCCACCAAACTTCTGATACCACGAGGTACCTTTATTGTATAATGCCCCGACAGATCCAGTACCAGACCCGTTTCCAAGCGTCTTCCACCGCCATACATCCTCGCCCATGCCAATAGAACCCTGATTGGCCAAGCAACTTAGCTCAAAACCTGGCGAAGTTGGCGCCACAACCCCCTCAAATTCATTCGGTTCAAAGTACTTTCCCACCGTGGGGTTAAGCGGTTCAAAGGTCGGAAAGCGCACTCCAAGGTTGCCAATAATTGTGTACACCGTAATAACTATGGAATTTTTCATCCAGGCCACCTGAATCCCATCGACAGCGCGGCCGTCACGCCGTGCGTATCCAGCACCAGGTGTATTATCCCACATAGCAGGTTTCGGATACGTTTTCCACGCCTTTTCGTTGCATGTCCCGCGGCATTTAATCTGTTTATTTTTCACCACACTTGGGGTTGGCGCCGCCGTAGTCCCATTCTCACTACCACTGGGCGGTAATGTCCATTCATTGCTTACGAGGATGTAGGCATTGCCCCGACAATACAATGTGTTGAGGCAGTACATGCTGAAGGAAAAGTGATACGCCCCTTCATGTCGTTCAGGGCGATAAAGAAAGTCACCACTATGAGTTAGCTCCAGCGTTCCCGCGTCAGGTGGATATATCATGGAAAAATAACGCCCATATGCACATGGATCTTGACCTGGCACGCCGTTAAGGGAGTCACTGAGAGCAGCGCCAGGCACTGTCTGGTAGTAGTATACGTTAGCACACGCAAGGACAGGCGCGGCTGTTGTGATTGGTGGAGTGGTGGGTGACTGCGTAGGAGTCAAATCAATGTACGAGGTAATCATAATGTGCGTGCGGCATCGAAAGTCTTTTATGCATGAAACATCAACAGGAAGTTTATCAATACCTTCTTTCGCTGGAGCCGAGTAGAGGAAGTCGCCGATAATATTTAACTGTAGATTCTCACAGGAGCTATAAAGAGGCTGATGATACGTCACAAAACTACATCCCGCCACATCTACGTGTAAGTTGCCTCGAAGCTCAGTTGCTACTGGTACAGTAAAATTAAACTGCTCCTTACACATGACAACAGGAGCGGCTGTCGGAGCCGGAGCTGGGGCTTCTGTAGAGCTCGGTCGTGGTTGATTCGTGACGACAACGGCAAACGTCACATCACAGAGAGCTTCATCGTCACAATACAAACGGGCGTCCAGGGTCACATCTTCTTCCTTACTGGGCGCATTAAATGTGAAGGATACCCCATCGTAAAACTTGAAGGTGTGTGCCAGAGCCTGAGTTCGGAGGCGTGCACGCAGCACGCCATCACACGCGGCACCCGTGGCAAGGGTCGCATTCAGCTGTGCCCCTGGCTTTACATCGTACACCAGGTGATTTTTGGGGCACTGGGAAACCGTTTCGTGGAGCCAAATTTGCATCACCCCCGCGCAAACCACATTCTCGTCACACTTCACTTCATAAGGGAGAGTGACGTTCGCCTCAATGTCGTCCTGCGGAGAGGCGTAGATAAATTGTAGGGAATTCGGGCTCAGCACCGCAGCAGAGCCGATTTCGGGCTGCGTGATTGACGCCCGTAAGCCACCAGGGCAAACCATTTGTACGGCGCTTGTCGGTAACCTTGCAACGTTCGTTCTACCTGGCAACATCCGCAGTTGAAGTTCCCCCCGAGATGCAGCGCACGGCGGGAACTTCGGCGCGATCGTCGTGGTCGTGGTTGTGGTTGTGGTCGAGGGATCGTCGGGCGTTGCTGAATCATCACTCGACGCGTTTGCGTCGACCTCATAACGAAGGCTCGCGCGACAAACCTCGACGCCGTCGCAGCGGGCGCTGAGCGCAAATTCCACCGCAGCAGGCAGCGGGGCATCGACCACGGCGCCGAAGAGGTAGTTCCACCCACCCACCAGTAGAAGAAGGCTTGGCGAGGCGGGCGGTGACAGCACCTCAAGTGACGCGCCTTTGCAAGCCGCACCGCTCGGACTACTAATGCGCCCATACCGCGTGCCCCCGGGTGCAATGCTGTATTGGCGATTGTTCTCGGGGCACGTATCGACGGCGGAAACACCGACAGCTACGACGACCAAACACGTGAGGAAGCAAAGGAGGTTCCACATCTCTCCACTCCACCTTTGCTAGCTGCAGTCGCTGTTGTTGGGCAGGTACGGGCAGCCCAAGAACAGCAAAAAGAATAGCTAAAAACAAGGGGTGGGGGATGGGTAGGAAAGGCAGAACAATGAAGAGAAAAGAATAGTCTGCGCCGCACCCTACTTTCTCACCGTTGCCGAAGAGTTACGAAAACACAAATAACTTTTTTCCACCACTTTGGGTTCGTGACCAGAAATGTACCTATCAATTCGAATAGAAAATGGAAAGAGTTAGAGATGCGAGGCACGACGATCCTTCACCGCCGGGGAAGCAGCCGCGCGGTCGCCCTCTCCCTTCCGGGCGTCAGCTCCATCACCACCACCCTCCCTCCCTCCCTTCTTTTCCTCACAGCGCACGCCCAGCGCACAAGTGCCGTCCCCCCCACGCGCCTGTGGGCGCCAGCACGAGGGAAATACGTCCCGCAACACGCCCAAGCGGCCGGCCAGGCAAGGCACTCGTTACGTGCCCTCTCCCCACTGCAGCGGCTGCGTGTTCCTGCAGACGGATCCCCCGCCGCCCACGGACGCCGCTTGAGGGCGGGCCCCGCAGGCCGACTACTCTCGGCCGGCCTCCTTGCGCCCCCTTTTCCCCCACCGCCGCGCAGCAGCATCTGAGTGCCGCGCGCCATCGCGGGCCGCCGCAAAGAGACCCAATGCATCGCGTTGTCTTTGGCCCGGCGGTGCAGAACTGACCTCCATCCGCCACGGTGCGAGTGGCGCCCGCGTGATTG